GATGATTTTTATCTGAATCTTGTGGATTGGTCTTCGCATAATGTGCTTGCTGTTGGGTTGGGTAATTGTGTTTATCTCTGGAATGCGTGCAGTAGTAAGGTAATCCTCTGTCTGCCCTTTGATTTTTCTTTCATCTCTGTGCGTTGATCGATCTGTTATGACCTGATCTCGAGCCTCTTGAGTTGCTTCATTGTATGTCTAAATCGATGTAGCTTATGGATGTCTAGTTATTAAGAACCATTCTATTTGCAGGTCACCAAGTTATGTGACTTGGGAATTGATGACAGTGTGTGTTCAGTGGGCTGGGCACAGCGTGGAACTCATCTTGCTGTTGGCACTAGCAATGGGAAAGTCCAGGTTAGTGGTGATTAGTTTAACTCTATGTATGTTCTTGCATATGAACTTCAATGTGTGTTTTTTTTCTTTTTTTTTTCTTTTTTTCCTTCAGCTCTTGTGGAAGTTTAATTTCTTGAGATTTGCATAACTGAGATTCCGATGGATATGATTATGTGCCTGCTTCCAGTGTTGATTAACCCCTGCCCTAATGATCATCTCTCTAGATTTGGGATGCATCACGCTGTAAAAGGGTTAGGACCATGGAGGGTCATCGGTTACGAGTTGGGGCCTTAGCTTGGAGCTCGTCTCTTTTATCATCCGGTAGCCGGGATAAAAGTATCCTTCAACGAGATATTCGAGCTCAGGATGATTTTACTTCTAAATTATCTGGCCATAAATCAGAGGTGAGGCTTACAGACATGTTATTTTCCTACTGGCTCTCACTTAATTACAGGGTCTTATGTTTCCCATTGAATCTTTTGGACATGAGTTTGCATACTCTTACTGCTTGAATGATTTCTTCTTAGGGGAAAACTGCATTTCTCTTGTTGTTTTCTTTAACCTGTTTCTCAGCCAGAGATTGCAATTGTTCTATTGTAGGTTTGTGGATTGAAATGGTCGTACGATAACCGTGAATTAGCATCAGGCGGAAACGATAACAGAGTATGCTATACTGTTTCCTTCCATCTTTCGTCGCAGTTTTTTTTTTTTTTTTTTTTTCTTTCTCCTGCCACGATGACCGATATTCGTTATTATCTGCTTTCAGTTATTCGTTTGGAATCAACATTCAACCCAACCAGTACTTAAATTTTATGAGCACACAGCTGCTGTAAAAGCTATAGCATGGTCTCCTCATCTTCATGGACTACTTGCATCAGGGGGCGGAACTGCAGACCGATGCATTCGTTTTTGGAACACAACGACCAATACACATTTGAGCTGCATGGACACTGGAAGTCAGGTAATTAAGTTTCCTCTTTGCTTCTGTAATTCAAGCATGGGTTAGAAGGAATCTTTTAATGCCAAGCTCCACCTGAAGTAATTAAAAAAATTATCTGTTTGAAATGCAGATCAAATGCCGGCATAAATTAATAATTTTTCTCGATTGTTGACTTCTTGCTATTAGTAATATTATTAGGCTGGATGTTCTTGTAATTATATTGCTCCCAATCTGGCATATATGCTGTCTGGTTTCATCAAAATTATACCACTGAGGTTGTTGTTCAAGTGTCTACTATCAAGATTTGTCTTAATCTCCTTATACCTTCTTGATCCTGAGGTTTGGATGTATTATTGAAGAACCTAGTAGGAATACATAAACCTTCTTCGTTTTACGTGACAGGTGTGCAATCTCGCGTGGTCTAAGAATGTTAATGAACTTGTTAGTACTCATGGGTTCTCCCAAAACCAGATAATAGTCTGGAGATATCCAACTATGTCTAAGGTCCGTTGTTTTTTTCCCGTCCTTTCTCGACCATAATCATATTCTGCTATTTCCCAATCTGAATTTAAGTATGCTCTAATGCAGTTGGCAACATTGACCGGCCATACTTTCAGAGTTCTTTATCTTGCCATATCTCCTGATGGACAGGTAGCTTGTTCACTTGTTTGTACTGCGATCTCGATCTCGACCTGGACATTTCTAACTATGTGAAGAAAGAAGATAATTACTTGTTTTTTGATCAAATTCTTTTACTTTGCAGACCATTGTAACAGGGGCGGGTGATGAAACGCTGAGATTTTGGAATGTCTTCCCGTCGCCTAAATCGCAGGTAATAAATCGTCTACTTGCATATGTGATCTGAAATACTTGTGATTTGTTCTAGATCAGATCAAGTTAAGTAAGTTATAGTGAGACAAAATGAAGAGCTGCTACTGAGCTGTCTTGAAAACTTTAAAATGATATACACATGTTTGTCTGACATTATGTTCTTGGGATCCTTATGGAAAGGACTTTCTTGTGTTCCATTTCATTGTCAACTCAAACTCACATCTGGGTTTGAATCATAACGCAGAACACAGACAGTGAAATCGGAGCATCATTCCTAGGACGAACCACCATCCGTTAACAATCGAAGAAGAACGGTTCGACATGGCAGCTCTTAACACATACCCTTCAACGTTGTTGCACCATATGTTTTTTTGAGGAATAATAATGACAAGGATTTTGTCTGTGGTTTACAAAGATTCAAAGTGAAGAACTTAACCAAATCTGGTCTGCATTAGCCAAAGCAAAGGTAGATGAGATCTGAGAAAGCTGTAGATGAAAAAGGAAGTGAGGATTTTGTTGTAGTCTTACACGAGGAGGAGATTGATCCCAAATCTCCCTTATTCTCTTCCCCACTTCAATACAAAATATATATATATATATATATATATATATATAGTTAAGTAAATAATTACCCAATATTTTGATTATTACTTCAGTGACTTGTAAATTTAAGTGAGGAGAGATTTTTTATTCATATGATTCATTCATACATATTTGGGGTATAATTCATGTATATATGTATTATTCTTTTCCATTATTGTTTCAAATCTTAAATCTTTTTTTATGGGATTCATAACTATTTAATATATATATATGAAAATTTTGAATTTTTGTTCAACTTAAAAGGTTTTACATAATTTTAAAAAATATATTTTTTTTTTTAAAATGAAGTTTGTAGGTTATATCATACTATATGAATGGCTAACATGAATCAATGTAGTGCTTTTTAAATGACCCACTTAATTTATTTACTTTAATTCTAGAAGCCCTTTTTTTTAATTTTATTATTATTATTATTATTTTGGTTATATAAAAAAATAAAATCATATATATGGGTAAAAATAATAATTGTATGAATTTAATTATATGTGAGCGAATTAATTTAGAACTTTTATTAAAATTACCTTTAAAATTCATAATAATTTATAAGGAAAATCACAACTAAGCTTATTTATATTAATTTTGTATTGGTTGAAGATATTGATGGGGACAGGGTATAAATTAATATATTTTCCAAAAATAAACTAAATCTCCTTCCTAAGCTATCATCATTATCTTCCCATTAAACTAATTAATTTATTATTTATTATTATTTTAAATAAATGACACCAACCATGCTAAGTGAAGCACTATAAACTCCAAAAGCTTGCGTGGCATTTCACGTTTCCATTAAACATTTTCTGTATTTAAAGTTTCAAATAATTAAAAATAATAATTTTATTTTATAATAAAAAAAGATTTATAAAATTGTCGCATTGTCTTGTTGTCGTGTTGGTTGATGTACTTTTGTTGAAGATTTGATAGGAAAAAAATAATAATAATATAATTAGTTCAATAATTCCCTTTTGATGGGTCCCACATGAATTATTTTTATTATTATTATTATTTTGGTATAGGGTTTGAATATTAATATATTTAAAAGCAAAATAAAGAAAAAGAAAAATAGGTAATAGATATAATAATATATGACAAAACCACCAAATAAAGTTGATTTAAAGGATTAATTTGTTTGCATTACTGCTGCCGTCCTTTAAAAGAGTTTCCAATGCTCAATAAATCATTCTTAAAACAATACAAATTTAATAATAATCTTTATTATATGCTTTTTTTATTTATTTTTCTTTACATTAAATAATATTTTAATTCTTATTGAACTGATTTAATCATTATATATTTTTTACTTTGGTTTTTAAAAAATAAATTTATATACACTATTTTTTTTTTTTTAATTGTATTTTTGTTTTGTTTTACCTTTTTAAGGAGTGAAATCTCTTATTTGCCCCTGGGTCAAAGATAACACCGGACCTCCGACCCATTTTGGTGGGTGGAAAGAAGCCCAATGAAGTCTTCTGGGCAATGTTTGGGCCACTCCAGACGGCCCAAATTCCATATGGACTGGCTTTGAGTGGGCTCATCTGACTTGAGCCCATCCAGCCCAGTTAAAGTGGGTCCCAACATTCTACTATTCAGGAATTTTATAGTCGACGTGTCAATTAAACTTCAATTCTTAAAAAAAAAAATTAAAAAATTAAAAAATCATAAGAAAATAAGACACTGTAAATTGAAATTTAACTTTCAATTAAATTTTTTTTATTTTTCTCATTCTAAATTAAATCCTACTTTAGCGTCGAAATTACATCAACCTACGTGTTTGTGTGTTCGTGTCGTGTGGAGCCGTGTATGTGTCATGAATAAAGGGTTTGACGTAATATGGGCATACAACCATGGACAACGTGCCCTAGACAAGCATGACTATAACACTATGTCTCCACTCCTACCTATTCGTTCTTCTCGACTATGTTTTCATTCAACTTCTTAATCATTGAACCCAACTCAAGGTTGAGTGGGTTTGGTTGCTCCCTCCAATAGAACGAACTAGCTCAACTCAATCCAGTTCATATAACGGTAGAATTCAAATTTGAATTTAAAAAATAATAATAAAAGAAAAGGTAATTATTGTAGGCTTCATAATAATATATATATATAAACAATTCCTATTCAAATTTAGACATTCATTTAAAGTAAAATAAGCCATAAAAAACATAAACATGAGCAGAACAAGACAGAATCCAACAAGGAAGAGTTCCTAAATATGCACTTAGTTTCATGTTTATACTTTCCCTCAAAGTATTTAATGAAACATTTTATCAGAAACCATTTTCTGTATTTTTTTTTCTTTTTTTGTTTTGAAATATAAATTTTGGAGGGTTTTTGTTTGAAAATCTAGAGGAAGCCATTGGTGGTTGTTCTTCTTTCTGGGAGTCCTATGAACAGTTCAGTTTCCACATCCATTATGTCTTGCTCCTTTGATTCAGATCTCTGCTTCGTTTCTCGTTTTTTTGACGATTTTCTTCTGACCTGAAAAACTTTAAGAATCTATTAAGTAGCTTGATAATAACGTATTAAAAAAAATTAAACATCTAAAAAATGATTAATCCTAATAAAAACAACTTTTTTTTAGACTTCCAAAGTTAACAAAGATGGAATTGAATGCGCTTAATTTATAATGCAAAATCAAACTGGATAATGTAAGTTGGAGGGGATCCTTCGTAAATGTGACATGTAGGTTTTAGAATAAGGAACCGAGGTTATAAGAGTAAGTGAAGTTGAGTGAGCTGCTCTCCAAAGACTCGACATTAGAAATTCAAACAACCGAATTTATATTTTCAATTTTAGTTTCCTTCTGTAGTATAATTTTCACTTTCTTTGAATTTCAAAAACGTTCAAAATCACCTTAAATTTTCAAAGGTTTCAATAATACTTTTACAATTTTTAAATACCCTTTTTAAACTTTAAAAAACAAAATACTCTAATCATTAATTTTGGATAAAACCGATAACTATTTTATTTAAACTCTCAAAAATGTTTCAAAAATATCAGTTTTCAAAAGTTTCATATAACACTATTAAATTTTATAAAAAAAAACTTCAAAAACACCTTCAAATTAAAAAAAAAAATACTCTGACCGTTAGTATCACATTTCAAAAATACTCATAATACTCCATACTTCCAAAAATAACATTAAAAACTTTGGAAATAATCTGCGAGGTGTTAATAGACAATTTTGCCCATATAGTAACGGTAAGAATTTTTTTTTTAACATATCAGTAAAACGTTCAAAATTTCATAGTTATTTTTTAAATATAGTAGTAACAAAAACGGTCGAAACAGTAAATTAGGGTTAAAAATAGTTGACATAATGGAAAGAAAGAAGATTGCATAACCTTCACCTGCAGTGCTGCATTTTCTTCCAGCAACAGTTTCTCCTGTGCCAAATTAAAATTGCAATAAAACTTTTATTATTTTTATTAGATAAATAAATAAATATGTATATTACTGAAAGATTAATCATTATTCATATAAATAAATAAATAAATAAATAAATTACCTCTTCCTTCAGCTTCATAATTTCTTCCTTCAAAATTTGATACTGAGAATTGACAAAATGCAATTAAATTAAAATCCGACGTGGAACGATTACAGAAAACTCAGCTATGAACATGATGAACTACCTTTCTTGACCTAATCTTGCTTAAGCTTCTTTCAAGCTGTCTTTCGAGCTGCTGCAACTCGTCGATCGAACACGAATCCAACCCACCTCCCAACAGTTTTCTGCATTAGTTCGAGCATATCGATCTTCATTTTCATCTCTCAAATGTTTTGATGGATTAGGGTATGTTTGGAAGTGATTTGGAAAGCGTTAAAGATCACTCATAAACATGATTTTAATCATTTTGAATGATTGAATGCATGTTTTGAAGTGATTTTAACGATTTCGATCGAAATAATCACAAACCTTTTACTAACTTCAAGGTGCTCCAACTTCTTTGTGATGGTAAACGAGTCGAGTTCCTTCTCCAACTTTCAGTCCAAATAAATTCATCAGTTCATATCATAAACATGAAGCTAAAAATGGAACAAGAACACGTCGAGGTATCGTTTTACGAAAAAATTATTGGATGAAACTGTTACAACGTGATTAATCGTTGGATCATATCTATGAATCTAGACTTGTTATAACGACTATTGGATATAGATTCACAATACCTCGAATGGAGTGAAAATATTAGCCAAATTCCAATAATTTCTCCGTCTCATTCAGAAGAAAAAGAAGTCTCGTTAGATAGCCACTCGGGTTTTTATTTGTTTTCTTATAATTTCTTTTATGAGTTCCATCTTGAATTCTTAGCCAAATTTGTAATAGCTCAAGCCCACCGGTAGCAGATATTGTCGGTTTTGGCCCGTTACGTATTGTCATCAGCCTCACGATTTTAAAACGTGTTTGCTAGAGAGAGGTTTCCACACCCTTATGCAGAATATTTCGTTTGCCTCTCCAACCGACATAGGATATCACAAAATCACAAAACTTAAACACAAGCTTCTAAAAACTATTTCATTTAGTTTTCAAAACAAAAGAGATTAATTAGTGGAAGTAGTGTTTATAAGCTTGATTTTCAAAAACGAAAAGTCTAAATCGAAATGGGTTTTAAACGGGATTTTAAAGTCTCGTTCTTTTTTGTTTCGGAAAGAATTCAAACGTTTAGATATGAACGATAGAAAACAAACACAATTTTCAAAAACCAAATGATCATCAAACGAGACTCAAATCAGATACACGTTTTATCTTTCACTTTCTCTACTTCTAACCAACACATCAATTTGTAATAAGAAGAAAACCAACCTGCAAATCTTCAACAGCTGTGTTGTTACTCGACATCAAATCTTTGGTCCTGTTCTGATAACGATCAATTGTCTTGTTCATACTGAAACAAACAACAACAACAAAATCAGCTCCACATTTGAACTTGGAAGTTGATATTAAACACATCTTGTTCTTCTTAGGGCATACCCTAAGTATGATATCTATGAACAAAACCATAATCTTTTAGCCTTAGATTATCACAAAGTTTACAACTTTAATCAAATGAACGATCAAGATTTCCCGTGTTCATCGGGATATGGCCATCAAAGCCATGCGTGGGAATAAAAAACCAAAATGGAAAGAAATTTTTAGCTTAGATCGATAAAAAGATAGTTTTTTTCTCATTATTTTTGTTTGTCCCATTGGATTTTGAAGCCAAATGTTCCAAATCATGTCCCTAATAGAGTATAGCTTCCAATTTTGGGATGGCCTAGCATTTCCTTAAATTACAACCTACTAATCTTTACTTGAAGCAAATTTTTGTTGATCTACAAAGTCCGAGCCTAACCTTGGAGAATGAAAAATGTCCTTTCTTTTAAGGACTAGTAACAAACGTCGAGAAATAAACACGAACACACTCCGTTACAGATTTAGAGATTAGATCTCGATTAAAGAAATTATTTGAAATAAACTTTGATCGGAGTAAACGAAAAGGGATGAACGAGAGTGAAGACGAAACGAACTGATAAACTCAATCACTCCTGAACTTGAACTTGATTGAACAATTCCACTGCCTTCCCCTCGGCCGGCACTAGAAAGTGAGAAATTTGAAGCATGGATCTAGCTTATTGATACGTTCTCGAAAAGCCCCCTCCCCTTGAATCATCCATTTTCTTTCCTTCCTTTTTACCCATAAAAACTCGTGCTCTAAAATCAATATACATGATTATGATTTGACAACATAAACAAGTTCCTAGATTTAACCAAAATCAAATGGGTTTGACATGAAATATTATCTTAATTCTAAGATTGTTCTTACTACACCTTACTACACCAAACACAGTTATCTTCGATTATCGAACAAGAAACAGAATCTACCAAACCAATAAGCCTCAAATCAGTAAGAGGGCTCCTAATTCGTCTATTGGGGTTAGAGAAATAAGAGAACGAGAGACGTGTTGTTAGGAATTACGGATCTCTACAATTATATGATATTATTCATTTTGAGCATAACTTCTTGTGGTTTCTGCGAAACGTCTCGTACTAACGAAGATGTAATCGTTACTTATAAACTCATGATCATCCCGGTGTTGGAACCAAGGGAAATAGACAGTAACCAAAAGGAAATAAAGAGGTACAAAAGTTTAATTAGTAACCCAAAAAGGACGATGATTTGAGAGGTTTGATGAGTAAATTTTGAACATTAATGGAGAGTGACTGAACGGGAAAAAAGAGAGGAAAAAAAAAACGTACCTGAAATTGGAAAACTCGTAAAGTTTGCCTCTTGGAGAGAAGATTATAAGGGCAACTTCAGCGTCGCACAGAACTGATAGCTCAAAGGCTTTCTTCAGCAGTCCATTTCTGCGCTTTGAAAACGTGACTTGCCGGCTTGTGGCATTCTCTATGCGCTTCATTTCAGTCTTGCCTCGCACCATTTTTTCCTCAAAGTCGCCTCCTATATGCACAAAAAGTGTCAGATTTCAACAAAATTTCACTAAAAAAAGGAAGAAAAACACCAAAATAATCACAACCCAGATAGCAAAAATGAAAACCCATTTGGAAAAATGGAAGAAAATTGAAGAATTTGCAAAAAAAACGCACCAAATCAGAGAAGCCCAGATGGAAGAACAGTGAGTGGAGTAAATTTATGGGGTTTTTGGGTGTGGGTTTTCTTGGCAAGAAGAACCCTAGAAATGGGGTATAAATAAGAAAAGAAAAAAAAAAAAAAGACACAAAATTTAGAAGGAAAGAGAATTTGAAGCAAAGAAGAACCTGATCTCTTTCTTTTTTGGGAA